TGTAAAGTAATAGCTGTTTGACTTAAATCAACCCTTATCTGCAGCTGTTTGTTTCTTTGCACATATATAGATTGCATTATTAACCACACAAAGATAACTGACCTGTAAGCATGTAGAGAATAACGTCGTCATTTTCTTTGCCCACCAGCTTATCAGGGATTGTTTTCAGGGAAGCTGATATGTTCTGGGATCAAGCTGGGAAACCTGTCAGTCTTGCAGAACAAAAAATGGAGCCAACGCCATGGAATGTAGCCATCTTTATATAATAAAGATACTGCTTTGTCAGTTGATGAATAAGGACATTACTTTTACCTATAGCTTATTTTCAGATTTGATTATTTTTCCTACAAACAGTAAGCTTAATGGAGGCCCATACACTTGGCTTAATTGGATTTTCTTTGTGGAGGGCTTGCTGGATTTGTTGGGTAGGCATATTTGCTTGCAATTTTCAGATTTTCATTGTGAGTGCTGGTCTAACTGTAGCTGCTCTGCCTTTGTGGTACACTAAAGAAGTAGAGCTGCTACGGTTAGAGAGAGACGGCTGGGTATGGGTCACAAAGCTGTTGCACAACAGTGATATGAGGCAGATTTTTTGAGCAGAGATGGTGAATTTGCTTGCAGTTCCAAATTTTTCTGCATGTTTACTGTTAGTATGACTTCAGTTCTTGGTTTGCATGCCAGCAGTTAGGATCTCTACCTATGTATTGCTCAACACTGCAGACTTGGAGTAAGATAACCCTCAGCTGCAGCTGAAAACAAGTCCGTCAGTATACGCCCCTTCTAATTGCTGATTTTATTTAATGTTTGAAAAACATTTGCTTGTAGATCACACTGAACACCTTAAGGTGGGTTTAATGTTTGAGTTGCCTCTTGCCACTTAGAAGTTTATATTTCCCCACAGGCTGTTACATCCAGGTGTGTTCCATGTCCTGTACTGTATTCTCAGTTTTAAATCTTGGAGAGCGGTCAGCTTCAGGATTAGAAGAATGGGGCTCCTTTAATTTCTGCAGCAGAAGCTGTCTGCAGCTTTAAGTATGATTCAGTTTCTAAACTTTTTTTTTTTTAATTATGTAGTCCCTAGGTGCTGTAATTAAAGAAACAGGGCATTAATGAAATAAAGCTGTGGTGATTCTGGTGATTCACTCTCTTCTTCTGGCATTTAGAAATTCACTGGCCATAGTTTGATCTGTCTGCCAGCAATGGAGCCACGACTTTTTGCAATTTCTGTTAAAGTTTATGGACTCTTGTTTGCAGATTTTTATGGAAATACATTGTTCTTAGACTTCAAGAATTTGATCTCTAAGTTCTGCATGCAACCAAGGTGCTGTCATAAAGGTCTGTAAGTGTAACTTCACCAAAAGCTGATAGAGAGTGAGTCTCAGTATCAGACTTGAATTTAATATTGCCTTTATATATATGTATATATATATATAT